AGAGGGATATCTAAAGTTTTTCTCTCAAATCCCAGAATCCCATGCAAGCCTGTGATAAAAGTTTTTGCGGTCAGATAGACTCCATTGGCAATATTCTTCAATGTGTTCACAGTCACAGGAGAACACTTTGGGAGGAACGGAACTACTGTACAAGTTTAGTAATTCTGACTCTAAAAGGACCTCCACTCAGTCCTTTTGGTGGACTTCTTATTAGCATTTGATTGGCTACTCTAGCAACAGAATGGTGGCCCGTCTGAGAATCCCTGTTGGATTGCATTCAGAATTCATTTCCCACGGTGACTGACTAAATGCTTGTGTTCCTCATCCACTGGAGTGGAGAGGCATACTACGTCTAATACTTAGATATATCCACTTAGGGTTGCCCATCTCGGACTTTGGCTCTAAGATTCAGGTTATGAGTTTATTCTCCAAGTCTCAGGTTTTAGACTTGAAATCTCTAGGGATGTTGCCATTTTAGCAGCCTAGTTTTTTAGGTTAATAACCATGTCTTTGGGACATGCCATGTAGATGCATTTTCATTATGTTGCATGCCCTACAGCTGCTACTGGAATTCACTCATGAGCTCTTAAATTCTTGATCAGGGCTCTTTTTCTTTTATTCTTAATGCATGGTCTGCTGTTCCCTATCTTGTCTGTCAGATGCACATCATTGTGTAATATATCTGTGAAGATTCTTAGTCATCCAGCTGAGGTTATCTGGAAGTTGAATCATGGCAACTGGACTTCTTATTATGTTGAAATGTTTCACTACTCATCCAAGTCGCTTCTTCAGTCTGAGGAGAGTTGGTAGGAGATCCCTGATACCTCTGCAGTTTCACTCCCCCCCCCCTCTGAATAGGCTCATTAGATGGACAAAGGACTGGGGGTGAGTGAAAATCTCACTTCTGCAGTCCTTCTTCACCCATTGTCATGGGCCATTAACAGGTTGTTAACAGTGGTTTTTCTGGTATGTGTGGTCCTGATGTTTCTGGGGAGGGCTGAAAGGGCGGAATGATAAACAGGAGATTTTGTAATAACAAGGGCCTGCCCCTGTGGCATCACAAGGACTTGTTGCCCCTATGGCTTAAGCTTTTGCCTGAAAATCTTCAAAATGGGATGCTGTTGATCTGACAGCTTTATTAGCCACCTTGATTAAGTTACAGCCTTAGTTACAGCCAAATTCGCAGTGAATATTTGCCTAGCTTTGTCTAGGAAGGCTGTCTGGCACAGTGGTCAAACTGCAGTATCGCAGTCAAGCCTCTGCTCATACCCTGAGTTCGATCCTGAGGGTTTCAGGTATCCGGCTTAAGGTTGATTCAGCCTTCTGTCCTTTTAAAGTTGGTAAAATTAGTACCCAGCTCACCAGAGACTTGCACAATTATTTTGCAAACTGCCCAGAGAGTGGTTTAGCCCTAAGGGGTGGTATATAAGTCAAAACAACAACATCTGATCCAGCCAGCAGGAATCTTCTTGTGTTCAACAAATACTATTTTGTACAATATAAGGCAAAAACTAGAGCAAACCACATGTGTGCAGGAATAATGAAGCTGGAAATCCTGCTCAGACCTGCAGAGAAGTAAACCCCACTGAACACCAGCAATCTACACAGTATTGAGATTGCAAATCCCAAGGTGTAATTACAATAAAGGAAGTAGTGTATGGAAAATAAAACTGGAAATGGACATTCCCTCCAGGTGTCACACACACCTCTTCTTGGTTGGTATCTCAAATATTTGAAAACACTGTCGTCATCTGAATCATCTTTTCCTTGGCCAGATATGGTCAATGCCTCCACCTCTTCCTCTTGCATCACATATTCCAAGGACTTGACCTCCGTTTCTTACACACACGGCAAAGAGAAATCAGAGACAAAATGTTTGTTAGAAATCACCAGCCCCTGAGGAACTGGAAAGATGATGGAGGTTGTCTTTTTACCCAGAATGGACATCCGCTGTACAACAGAAACTAAACAAAAATACAGTAGAAAGAAAAATATTATGGTACCCTAAAGGCAAACAGATGTATTTCATCATCAGCTTTTATGAATTACAATCCCAGTTCGTAAGACAGGAGCATCCCCAGAAGAGAGAACTGGTAGACTATTTCTGAGCAGTTTATACCCTGTAAAAACCCTGTAAAGTCAGAGCTGACTTGATGGCATATAATTATTCTGATTGTGAGGTCCTTGCACTACACCTTTAATCCATACAAGGGAAGTGAAAGATATTGAGGCCTTAGTCCTGAGAGGCAATATCCTGTAAAGTTGCATCATGCCTCTTGCATCCCAAATTATGATCTGTACCATCTCCGGTAAAAAGATACCGTCGTTCTCTCAAAACTCTACAGGAAGCCGTGTTCAAAAGGTGGGTTGTCTGACATTCTCTTGCCCTTCGCCAGTGTCTATTATCTTTCAGCTAATCACTTCCTTTTCATGACTCAGGACCAGGTTTCCACACACCTGCTTTCACCCTTTCTCCCGTTTGGGTTGACCATTAAGGTATACTCACATATTTTCTACATAGCAGCCAAAAAATAGGGACACTACAGTTCATCAAAGGAAACAAAGGATATTTTGTAATTTACAGTCTTAGAATGGCATATAATCTCAGATTTAAACATCACTTCTTTGATAACAAAGCTATGCCAGGATTAAATTCTATATCTTTTTCACATATATTATTTAATTCTTTAAAGATTAGTTTCCAAAATCTTTATACTTTTTCACATTCCCACCACATATGAAAGTATGTACCAAGTTCCTTCTCACATTTCCAACAGACATTCAGATAGGTAAAGGTAAAGGTTCCCTGTGGCAATTTTTTTTTGTCCAGTCGTGTTCGACTCTAGGGGGCAGTGCTCATCCCCGTTTCCAAGCCATAGAGCCAGCGTTTATCCAAAGACAATCTTCCGTGGTCACATGGGCAGTGCGACTTAGCCACGGAACAGTTACCTTCCCACCGAGGTGGTCCCTATTTATCTACTTGCATTTGCATGCTTTCGAACCGCTAGGTTGGCGGGAGCTGGGACAAGCAACGGGAGCTCACTCTGTCGCGTGGATTCGATCTTATGACTTCTTGGTCTTCTGACCCTGCAACACAGGCTTCTGCGGTTTAGCCCACAGCGGCACCATGTCCCTTTCAGACATTCAGATAACTAGCGTTAATTTTATTAACATTGGTGTCAAATGCCATCTTAAACCTAGTTTGGAAAAAAATTATTTTATTCTCACCATTCATTTTCTGCATCTTCATCCATTCTTCACCATTTATTCTTTTTCCTAAGTTTTGTTCCCACACTAGCTTCAATCCTCCATTCTCAGTCTCCTCTCCTAAATCTAGCAGGAATCTATAAATTTTACTTGCTACAGCCTTCACTGAGTCAGTCACCTGAATATCTTCACGTAATAATAGAAATTATTCATACTTTGTGTATTCTCTACCTTTGTGTAATTTTTTACCCATTCATTATGCTAATGAGCATATGAGCCTTGCTGGAATCAAGTGTGGAGTTTACTCAAACACATGGGAAGCACCCTCCGACAATCTGTTTTAGCTCCCCCAAAGCTGCATTGCCCCAGGAAATACTGGGCCCATATTTTTATTTATGGCATTCTGAGTAACATCCATTTAAGAAAGACATGCCTGGGGAAATTTGTCTTGCTAAGAATTTTTGGAGTTGACATCTAAGAATAACTTTCCCGGCAAAACCTATCTTTTGACTTCAAACTGTATATGCCTGATGAAGTGATCCTGATCCATGAAATATTGCATATTGTATGATTTTTTTAGTGATTTATAATAGCATTGCCAATTCTTGCAATTGTACTAATATACTTACTTTTTTAAAAAAAGTAATTTACAGACCTGTCTTCTAGTGAATTAACAAATAGCAAAACACAATCTGTGAAGTACAGATCAGGACTACCCAGTGGCAGAGACGTTCACAAAAATATCAGTAACACAAGTCCTTCCTCACCAGACTGCAGTTATGTTGAAGATCTAAACCCCCCCCCCACACACACAATTCACATTCCCTTGAGGTTTCAGACTGCAGTTATGTTGAAGATCTTAAAAAACAAACAAAAAAAAACCACACACACACACACAATTCACATTCCCTTGAGGTTTCATTTAATTTTATTTCAAATATCTTCATCCCCTCCTTTCTCCTTACAAGGACCCAATGCAGGTTTTGTGTTACAATGCTTTTTGGAATATCATTCTCTCCCTTTCTCCTTTGCTGAAGGAGGGCGGAGCTACCTGAAGGAAAGGGTGACACCTTTACCGGGCCACTAAGTAATGACAAACAGAAACTAGCTTTCGACTCCCTACGGGTCTCCACCACAGAGCCCTGCAATCAGCCACCCTTGCCTTCAGATTGGGTGGAAGGACCACCTGTCTCCAGCCCCCTTCTTGCAGGAAAGCAGAAAGGCTTCCATCCCCCAAAGCCTCCTGGATATTGTGGTCTCTCTGATACGGTGCTTCTGCAACAGCTCTTGCATCACTGCGGCTAGTGAACTACAATTCCCGAAAGGCTTTGAGACGCACACCTGACTTCAGGAAGCCGTGAAGGCCCGTCACCTTAAAGCGTATTTCCCCTACAGAATTGTCGCGAGACTTCTCGTTCGCGTCAGCGATCCACCCCCTCGGAGTCTAAATCGGGAGCGCGCGGTGGCTGACGGGAGGGACGGTCCCTTTCCTTTCCGCCTTATCTGCGCCACTAACCGTATTCCCTGAATCTCACCGCGCATTAATCTGACTATTTTTGAGGATTTATTTCTAAAGGAAGGCGACGGGAGAAAAGGCGAAGAGATTAAAGTCCGCCTCCAGACAACCCCGTCTCTTAAATTCTCTCCCCGCAGCGCTTTAGAAAATGGCGGACGACCTTCGCGCTGTTTGCGTGGCCTGTCGGGACTTGTAGTCCTTGCCCTGCCTCGCGGTCTTCGGGCGTCAACGGCGCTACCCTGTTAGTTCGGACTACACTTCCCATAACGCCAGAAGGGGCGAGGGTGACAGACGGGAGCGAATTGGACGGCAGAGGGGGCGGTTCCAGGTTTTTCCCACCCCCCCTCACCCTCCGCCTGCGCCGCGGCGGCTGCTGCTGCGTCGGGTGAGGTAGCGCGAGCGGCGCAGGCAGAGCCCGCGGCCTCCCCTGGGCTGTGCGTTTATTTATTTATTTATTTATATCCCACCTATCTAATCAATTAAGACTACTCTAGGCGGCATTAGGCATATCCCACTGTTACAATGAAGAGCGCCTCGAAAGGGTGCGAGTGTGGATAATGGGCTCTGTCAGGCCTTGGGGCGATGGCCGGCGCGGGTTCTTTCCAGGGAGGGGAGGGGCCCCGGGCTCGTAGTGATGGCTACCAAGGCCTAGCCCTGTGCTGCGTGTGCGAGGAGGCAGGAGAGCGGGTCATCTCCTGAGGGGAATTGCGGTCGGTCTGGGGCTAGGTATGGGGGGAGGCAGGAGGTTGTTCAGCGCCCATACAAGGATATGAGCCTTAGCTGTTAGAAGCGTAGTGAGGTGGAGATTAAAGATTATCGTTATTATTATTATTGTTGTTGTTCTGTGAGGCACTTAATTAGAAGGATCGGTCTAATGAGACGGTTATAGGCAGTTAGGAGAGATTGTGCTCGTGACACGCGTGTATACTTGGAAGCAACCCCAAATAATTGGCCATTGGCTTTCGGCCTTGATGAGAAGGTTGGCATGAAGGTGTTGATGTTGAGACAGAGTAGTGGTGTACAGTATGTGTGTGATACACATGATAGGAGGAATTCAGTAGGACAATAGTTTCGATATGAGCAATGTTAGACATTTTTATTGTCTCTGGAGGACATAGCAATGCAGATTCCTAAAGCTCTTTTCAACCAACAGTGAAATTTTGAGAGCTGAGGCGAGGCCTGTGGGTTGAACGTCAGATTTCTAGAGGGAACTCATAGTGCTTGGTAAGAAATGAGATTAGGGTAGCCAGGGAGTAGTGTTAAAGTAAGGAGTGTGTTTTCCATTGGCCAGAAGTGCCTTGGAGATCATTCTGCTGTAATTCAGAACCTAGAAGGGGAAACTCTTTGAAAGGAAAGAACAGATGGTAAGGGAGAGGTATCTGGGAGGAAAAGGAGAAAAGAGGTGGTAGCAGCAGGGCCTGCTCTCAAGGAATTAAGGTGTGCTTAGTGTAGGAGTAGACAAAGCGTAGCCATTTAGATTTTGTTGGGCTGCAACATCTGATATTCCACACATTTTTGGCTGTACAGGCTAGGGCTGTGTTTTGTTGCATTTCAGAAACACCTAGATGTTTGCACATTGCTTATCACAAATTTAATGAGAAATGAAAGCTGGGAGGGCCAGGCTTGGGATACACTGGGATTAGAAAAAAGGAGTATGTATGTATATGTAAATATAAATGTATGTACATGGTTACATAGGTACAAGCAGAATTGTAAATGACTTGTGGGAAAAGTGCTACAGCTGCAAAACTCTTAAAAGTTTTGTTCTCAAATTTATCCTTTCTAATGTTTAAATATGAGCAGATAGAAAGATGACTCTATCTTGATAATGTGGGAAATGTTTGGTTAGAACTGCATCTTGTTATATTTCTTGTGTTTTCTCTTTAGGTATCAGAGGCACCGGTGGTGCTAGCCTGTGGGAGCCATGTACAATGGGATAGGACTCCCCACTCCCCGGGGCAGTGGTACCAACGGTTACGTGCAGCGCAACCTTTCAGCTGTGCGCCACAAGAAGGATCGTACTGACTACAAGTCAGAAGAGGAGCTGAGGAAGCTGGAGTCCTCTCTGGTTAAAAAACCCAACCAGGATATCCTGGACCACGAGCGCAAGCGGAAGGTTGAGCTGAAATGCTTAGAGTTGGCTGAGCTCATGGAAGAGCAGGGGTAGGTTACTAAAGGGCAGCAAAGATCTTGGAATTTGTGAGCCCCTTGTATCAAAACTTTCTATGACAGGCTTGGATTATTGGGTCTGTTATTTTGAACTGTTAGCAAAGTGAAGGTTACTCTGAATGTACATGGTGTAAACATGATATTGTACTGGCTGCATGCCCTTATTTGTGATAAGCTGACATGGTTACTTAAGGTTTTAGGAGCCCTTATTTAGGATCCCTGGGTAATGTTTTAAATGTAATTATTTTGGTATTTAAATTATTTACGGAACCTTTTTTTAAAGTTCCTATGTAAAATGTGCAAAGTGGATTGCTATTTCACCTGGATGCTGACTAATCAGTTTTCCACATATAACTATCCTTTAGAAAGAGTAGTTACATTTGAAAAATTAACTCTCATGGGTTTCTCATGCAGTGAAAAATAAGCCCCTTTTTTGCTTATAATTGGTATTAGCCATCTCAAATCATATGTCCTCCAAATGTATTGGACTACACTGCCATCATATCCATCCATGTGGTATAATACCTCATACAATACTCTCAGCAGCTATCATTGTAATCTTGTAACCACTCTTGCAAAGCAGCTGAGCAAAATAAATTGGCTTAGATATAGTTGCTGTTATACTGCCAAAGCCAAAGATATTCAGACCTCAGATCAACTCCTTCAGACCTAAACAGAACATGGACACATCGATACACACTTTATGTACCTTAGCTTCCACCCAAAAACAACATAATTTGATTCATTAAAGGGGGAAAAACCTATATATTTTTTGAACTAAGCCCATTAAATGCAATGGTGAGGATGCTTTTGTGTTACATAATCACAAAAGTGGTACAGTTACCTTTCTGGCTATCGGTTACATGCCTGGCTATGCCCTACTTTGGAATTGTTTGCACATATAGGTGTGCAGAGAACAACCAGAAGACCACAAAAATGGCTTGTGCAGTGGCCTATCTATGCACAGAAAAACGCAGAAGTCTGGCCAGTGAGGCTGCCTGAAATATGGATCAGTTGGACTGGAGTAATGACTGTATCAGTTTGACAAGACTAATGTGGATAGGACTGTACAGCAGCTCTACCATTTGTAGATGTTAACATTACAAAAGTATATAGTTAATTTCACCTTTTTGGAGTGCTGTGATGTAGTGTGTAGGCAGGGCAGCTAGTGAGATTATGCTGTAATGGTTACCTGGGGTGGAACGTGATGGTATATTAGCGTTTCAGTATTCTGTGGATGTTCAGCTGTAGTCTGAGTTTCTTTCATTTTGATGGTGTGGCTTCAAGAATTTAATTTGAAATCAAAGGCTTTCCTTTTTGGAGAATTACTCTTTTCTTTTGAAACATAGGAATACATAATCAAATTCAAGAAAAGAACGTCTATCTTTGCTCAGCATTTCAGGATAAGACTAAATAAGATGACATATATACAAAGGTAAATAAGATACCATATAAACAAAGGAAAATGGCAGCAGTGCAATGATTTGGATCTGCATACAACGTAGACTTTTCCTTGTCAATTCCAGTTGAATCTCTAAGCAAATCACACCTATTAATAAAGAAGAGGGCATTAGCTTTGAAGAACGTTACTTAAAAAGACAGTTTCTGCATATTACAAGTTACTCATAAGTCTTCTCATTTGATGCTGGTATGCTGCCTAAAGGTTTCCCTGCAGGTGTACCTTCAGCAATCAAACATGTTCTAACACATGCTAGTCTTGTCTGGGGTAGTGGTATTAGAAACTTCAATTCACCCTGAAATTCCTAATCTAAATTGTTGACATAGTTAAAGGACACCAAGTAAAATTTTCAGGCCTTTGTAGCAAAAAAAAAGTTTTGAGGTAAAGCCTTTGTGATTTACAGCACTGGTTCTTAACCTTTGTTACTCAGATGTTTTTGGACTGCAACTCCCAGAAGCCTTCACCACCAACTGTGCTGGCTAGGGTTTCTGGGAGTTGCAGTTCAAAAACACCTGAGTAACAAAGGTTAAGAACCAGTGATTTACAGTACAGTCATATTTGCTATATAGTGGTGGATTGAATCTCCTGTTGTTATATAAAACTGTGTTAAAAGTAGTTCGTGTTGGCTCTTAGATACCAAGCGTATGATACTCCTGATAACCCTTTTGAATTTTTCTTACACAATTTAGGTATGGAGAAGGGGAGATTCAAGAGAAGGTAGCCACTTTTCGAATGATGCTTCTAGAGAAGGATGTAGCAGTGGTTAAGGAGGGGGAACAGCAGCAGAAGCCTAAGTAAGTAAGGCATTTTGGAGGCCCTTTGCTATCATAACTTGGTTGTATCATGTTATTTCCATCCTTGCATGTGTTATTACTTTTTGGAGAGGTCTTTGCCTACACCGTTTGGCTATTTCTTTGCACCTTATTTTTCTACAGTTCTGTACTTCAGAAGCAAAGCAGTAGGTTGCTGCAGCTTTTCCCACTGCTCTGAGCAATCTGCTTTCACACTTTTCTAAGTAGTACATTGCCACTAGGACCATTCTTCAGGACCTCATTTTTATTCTGTATATATAGAATATGGCTGGTTTTTAAGTGTTGTATGTATATTCAAACAGATCCTGAGTGAGAAGTTAGATGTAAGCTTATAAAGTGGACAAATGTTTTATTATAAGTAGTATGCAACGGTGATAGTGTTCACTTTTACATAGCTTATTCTTCTGGATCATAAATGCCCATGGTATTATTCTCTACTTATATTACCTGTAAATAAAAAGCTTTTCGCTATTCCACAGGCTTTCTTCATTCCCCTAAGTACTGGTTGCTCTCTCCAACTTTTATGGTACCCCACTGTCTTCCTCTCCTTTTCCCTAACAGTTGCTGTTCACATGCAGATCCCTAAATTCCAGATTTGTGCTTACCCTGTTAACCTAGATTACTGCTGTGGAAGCCTCATTTTGCATCACATTCTCATGCCTCATTCCTTGCCCTATGATTCCCTTTGTTACAATACAGTAATTGCCAATTTATTTAACTGCTTTTGTTCTGTTTCTTAAGTGTCACAGAGACTCATCAGCTGGCTGAGGCTAATGAGAAGAAGAATGAAAGGCTCCGAGCTGCCTTTGGAATTAGTGACAGCTATGTGGATGGCAGCTCTTTTGACCCGAATCGCAGGGCTAAGGAGGCAGCAGTGGCAGCAGCGGCCAAGCAACAGCAGGAGCAGCAAAAGCAATATAGGTATAAGAGGGTGCTTGCTAAGAAGAAATAAATAGAATGGCATGGGGAAGCAGGCATAATTGTGTTTATCTAACTAAAGAAAAAAGTTTGGGCTACTCTCATTTCTTACTCAGAGTTAATGTTTTTAAATTTAATTTTTAAGATTAACTGAAATAAAAAAACTGTTGAGTTAAAACATAGTAATTGCTAAATAAACACACACTTTGGTTTTTGAAATTAAATAAGATGAGATCTGTATAAAAATATTTTACCTAATTGACTTGGGCAGTACTGGGTGAATAACTAAAAGTCTGGTTTTGCCAAATGTTTTGTAGGATTTATAAAAGTTGGTAGGGAGCTCCTGAGCTTGAGAGTTGGGAAACTTTTTTTACTGCCACTTTAACTTCTGCTTTAATTTGGAGGAAGAGACTCCACTCAGGAGCCTTCTGTGAGCTGGTTCTTTCATAGTTTGTCCTTATCTTCGTAGTCTGGTCAAAGAGTCCAGCAGCTCCCGCTCACCATCTCCGAAACAGAAGAAGAAGAAAAAGAAGAAAGACAGAGGCAGGTAGGTGGGAGATCCAGGACTCCTTGTTTCTCTTGGCACACCTGGGAATGGGATGCAGAGGAGATGGGTTGGGTTTGGCATGAAGTATGTCTTGTTGAGGGAAGAGAATGAGGGAGCTTGAGGTCTCAGTTCTCTTGAGACACTTGGCATCCTCTTTTTGCTTAACTTCTAGGTCTGAGAGCCGATCACCTTCTCGAAGAGAGAGAAAGAAAAGCTCAAAGAAAAAGAAACACAGGTAAGGAGATTGTAAATAAAAAAGGGCTAAAGTTGGGACTGCCTGATGTCATTCTAGTTGATGGCTATATTCAATTAAGAATTTAGCAGTGTTTTGGGGTGTGTTAGAACAGATTTTTTGCTTTCTCTTTTGCATTATTTCCCCTCCAGTGAAAAAAGTTGCAGTGGGATTAGGAGCATAGAGTAAGGTGGTTGAGTGCTCTTTCTACTTGTCTCTTTTGTGAGAAGTATTTTATGCAAATGCTCTATGGAGTTGGGGTGGAGGAAGTCCCACTTCTCATGTAGCAGTTTGGGATAATGTCCTTGTAAGACAACATTTCACAAATTTCCTATTCAGCAATACACTGTGGCATATAAAACCCTGTTCCCTCTCTTCACCTCCTAGGTCAGAGTCAAAGAAAAGGAAGCACAGGTGAGCCCTAATAATAGTAATCTTTAAAAAATATTTTTTGTAACACAGAAAATGCTATAGTGCTTACTTTAACTTACTTAGCATTTTGAGCCCATCTTTTAAGTCAGGGTGAATTTATTTATTTAAAATTATTTTCCCCCGCCTTTCTCCTGAAAAGGACCCAAGGCGGCTAATGACATTTAAAGGACAATATTTAAAATCTAAAAACAATGAATATACAAATATTTTAAAAGAATTCAACAAATATTATGTTAAAATGATAAACAAAATCAAAACTAAAAACATACTTAAAAACAACAGGGCACAACAGTCCAGTTTGAAAACCCATCTCAGAGTGCCAGTCACTGAGCAATTGACTTTCTCAAGGATACCTGTTGTGGTGCCTTGTTGAGCGGTGACGTGAATCTTGCCCTCGTGTATCTAAACTGTATGTTGGTCACTATGCTACATTGGTTTTGAAAATGGGAGAAGTATTTTGGGGACTAGCTGTTCTTGGGTATTTCTCTAGGGGGTGGGAGGGCCCTGCCACGGATGCTGTAGGAATTGTGGGGTGAATAGTTGTTTAGCATGATAAATTTCCCTCGGTTTTTCCAGAATACAAGACAGCTTTCTTTTTCCAGGTCTCCAAGTCCCAAGAGCAAACACAAATCCAAGGAAAAGAAAAGGAAGAGGTAAAACCTTGCATTATTGGCACTTGGCATCCTCCTTGCTGAAGCCTTTCAGACCTTCTAATATGTTTCTGTCTGTCCAGGTCCACCAGTGAGTCTGCATCTCAGAAAGGCCGCCGGGACCGCTCTTCCTCCCCTGATGGGTCTTCCTCATCAGACGCTTCTCTCAGCAGGTAGGGCTTGAGATGGAGATCCAGGCATTGGATCTTGCAAGCAGATGTCAAACATGAGCAAATTCCTGGGAATAATCTTTAAGTGTGAAGCCTTTAATTATTACTTATTTACAGATCAGGCAGTATCACTATGCAGAAAAGAGCCCCCTTAAGACATCAGAGCAAGTCTCCCTCAGCTTCACGAAAACAAGGAGAAACTGATGTGCCAGAGAGAGAACGTTCATCTTCAACTGAGCCTGCCCGGCGTGGCAGGAGCCCAAGTCCTCGGGAAAGCAGAGAAAAAGTAAGGGCTACAAACACATTTGAGATCACATTACAGTGAGGTGAGAGAATAATGGAATCTGAGTTGTGGGTCTAATCATTATGTTTTATCTTTGTATTGTTCAGAAAATCTCATCCAAGCGTTCTCTCTTACGTGAGACCTGTCAGCGATCTCCTAGTCCTTTATCTCCTGTAAAGGAAATGGAACGGGACAAGGAGAGGAAGTCTACGCGACATAGCGGTAGAAAATCCTCATTTGAGCGGGATTCTAGGCTCAAGCATCGCTCCCCAGAACCGAATGATCTTCCTCGGGAAAAATCTGTAGGGCACAAACGTCCCTCCTCTAAGGAGAACAGATCTTCTGCTTCTGTCTCCCCACCCCCTAAAAAGCAAACAGAGGATCGTAATGGGACTCTTGCACCATCCAAGACTAAGATATCTCCTGATGAGGAGAAGCCAGCATCTTCCTCCTCTCCTGTTTCTAAGACAACAGAGAATAAGTCAAGGAAGTTGTCCCATGACAGCTCTCCACAGAGGCGCTCCCGTTCTCCTTCAGAGAGTGGTAGCTGCTCTTCCTCTTCTTCCTCTTCTCCTTCTCCAGGAAGTAAGCCAGCTGTAGTTTCTCGCAGCTCTTCCCCAGAGGAGCCCCCGAAAAGGCAAGAGAAAGAAAAAGTCTCTATACGTAGAGAGAGATCTAGCTCATCTCCTGAAGTCTCCCACTCTGGACAAAAGCAATCTTCTAAGGCCACATCTCGACGTGACTTGTCGAGCACCCCTCCAACCAGGGGCACCAGGTCAAGAGCCAGTCGCAGGGATAAATCCCTCTCACCAACACCTGTTGTTCGCAGAGGCAGATCTCGGTCTCGCACCCCACCTAGAAGAGGCAGATCACGCACACGCACACCGCCAAGGAGGGGGAGATCTCGCTCTACTCAGAGACGTGCCCGATCTCGTTCACGCACTCCACTAAGAAGAGCCCGTTCTCGCAGTCCACAGTGGCGAGGCCGATCAAGAACGCCACAGCGGTGGGGCAGGTCACGCTCACGAACTCCCCCTAGATGGGGCCGGTCTCGTACACCTCAGAGACGTGGCTGGTCGCGTTCTAGAACCCCCCAAAGGCATGGCTGGTCTAGGAGCAGAAATAGTGGCAGATGGGGAAGATCAAGGACACCACCAAGAAGGGGAAGGTCACGTTCAAGAACCCCACCAAGAAGAGGCAGGTCTAGATCTAGAACACCACCACGCCGAGCAAGGTCCCGGTCAAGAACTCAAACTAGAAGAGGCAGATCTAGAACCAGAACCCCTCCCAGGAGAGGGAGATCAAGCTCTTCACCAAGAAGGGAGAAGTCCTTGATTTCAGCAAGGAGAAGTAGGTCTGTATCATCTCCAGATCGGAAGACCTCCAGAATTTCTTCACGGAGAAGCCGCTCTGATTCTTCTCCCAGAGTGAGAGAGAGGGTGCAAAAACCATTGAGACGTAGCCGTTCTGGATCATCTCCTGAATCAAGAAGCAGAATACGTGTATCTCCTAGGCGCAGTCGATCTGGTTCTTTGCCAAAGTCAAAAAAGAAATCACAGTTGTCTCCTAGGAGGAGTCATTCAGGCTCATCTCCAAGATCTAGGAAGAAAAAGTCACAGACGCCTCCACGGCGCAGTCGCTCTAGTTCTTCTCCACGGCTGAAAAGGAAATCCAGATTATCTCCAAGACGAAGTAGGTCTCGTTCTTTTCCAACCCCCAAAAAGAAATCCAGATCACCTGCGAGGCATAGCCAGTCCAGGACACCTCCAGTAGTGAAAAATAAGTCCAGAGTGTCCTCAAGGAGTAGATCCAGCTCGTTGCAGAGACTTGCAAACAGGACTGAGGTCTCATCAGGAATGGAAGAAAAATCTAAAATGGCCTCTAGAAGAAGTCGATCTGGTTCATCTCCAGCATCAAGGAGGAAATCTAACTCCCCTGCAAGAGGTAGCACATCTGGGTCTTCCCCAGAGGTTGAAGACAGATTGTCGAGAAGGCGAAGCAGATCTGAATCTTCTCCAGAAGTGAAAACAAAGTCAAGGTCATCCCCGGGGCCCAAAAAGGAACTGAGGTCACCTTCACGGCGAAGCCACTCTAGTTCTTCTCAATCATCAACAAAAGAAAACTCCTTAACACCTCCAAGACGAGCAGCCTCTCCAGAACGGAAGTCCATATCTCCACTGCAGCGAAGCAGATCTGGGAGATCTGTAGCTATGAAAGAAAAAACTAGATCACCACAACTGAGGCAGAGCAGGTCTGTATCACCTCCAGCACTAAGAGAGCAGTCTGTTTCTCCCCCAAGACGAACTGCATCTGGAGCTTCAGAGATAAAGAAAAAATCTACTTCACCGGTTGAGAAATGCAAAATTGACTCTCTTGAGTTGAAGAAGACCAAATCACCACCAAGGCGAAGCAGGTCTGGCTCTTCACCATCAGTAAAAGAGCAGCCTAGATCATCTCCCAGGGGTAAGTCCAGATACTCTCCTGAATTGAAGACATCTCCATCACCTCTAAAACAGGTCAAGTCTGGGCTTTCTCCTCCAGCTGCAAAAGAAAAGTCTACGTCACCAGCTAGGAGAAGTGGGTCCAGATCATCTCCTGAATTTAATGGCAAACCTAAATCTCCCCCAAATCAGAAGTACCAACAAATGAAGGCAAAATCAAGATCACCTCCAAGGCACAACAAATCTGGATCTTCATTAGAAATGGAAAGAACAACACCCCCCTGCCAGAAAAGTAAATCTGGTTCATCTCTTTCTGGAAAAGAGAAATCTCAGTCTCCTGCAAGGCAAAGCCAGCTTGGGTCATCTGCAGTGCATAAGAAGTCAGAGAGTCCATTAAGGCGAAGCAGATCTGGATCTTCCTCTTCCTCCTCCTCTTCCTCCTCGTCTTCCTCTTCCTCCTCTTCCTCTTCTTCGTCATCTTCTCCAGAGGAGGATAAATCTCAGTCACCCCCACGATTGAGCCGCTCTGCTACATTGTCAGTCAACAAAAGCAAACCTGCAGCATCCCCAGAACACAGTCGGTCGGATTCCTCTCCAGAACCAGAGAATTGCACATCTGCAATTGCAAAGCACAACAGACCTGGAGCTTCTCCAGAAACAAGAGAGGTTGCAAGACCTGCAGTGATGGGGCCAAGATTACCTTTGGAGAAAAGAGAGATATCCAGAGATGCTCCTCAGAGGAGCCGATCAGGATTGTACGCTGGGATTAAAGAAAAACCTGGAAGCCACTCCAGTGAGAGCAGTTCAGAGTCCTCCCCAGAACGAAAAGAGAAATCTGTAAGCCGTTCTGTATCACCGCAAAGACCTGTAAAATCAAGAACACCTCCAAGATGCAGAACATCAAAGTCACCACCTAGATCTAGAGCAAAATCTAGAACACCACCAAAGCGTGGAAGGTCTGGCTCACCCTTACGATCCAGGATGAAGTCCAGAACACCTTCAAGACGGCGTAGATCTGGATCTTCTCCAAGGCCCCGAATGAAGTCTCGAACTCCTCCAAGGCAACGTAGGTCTGGATCATCCCCAAGGCCTCGAATTAGGTCCAGGACTCCACCTCGGCGGCGGCGGCGATCTGGATCATCTCCAAGATCCAGAATGAAATCTAGAACTCCTCCCCGAAGACGCAGATCTGGATCATCTCCACGGCTCAGAGATAAATCTAGAACACCAATTACAAGAAGGAGGAGATCTATATCACCAGTGAGTCCTAGACGGAAATCGCGAACACCTGGGAGGCGTGGAAGATCTAGATCACTCTCTAGAGAGAAGTCAAACACCAGCATGTGTCCACATAGATCTAAATCGTCATCCCATTCTGACAGACCTAGAGGTTTTTCACGACGGGGCAGATCTGGCTCTCCTTCACGGAGGAGCCGCTCCCGTTCACTCTCAAGGCGACGGGACAAATCCAGGGGATCACTACGGAGGGAAAGGTCCATTTCTTCCCCAGGCCGAAGCCGTTCAAGATCCGGTTCTCGTCAGGACAAATCAGATTTTCTGCGGAAAGGTGAACGCTCTGTCTCCTCACCTCGCAGAGGTCATTCCCAATCACCAGCACGGAGAGAGATGTCAAGGCTGTCCCCACAGAGGTCTGCCAGCAGTCGGAATGCATCTCGTTCCCCTCCCAGGTTAGATGCATCACGTGTCACAGCAACTTACAAAGGCACTGGGTCTAGAGTGTCCCCTGACTTTCAGGCATCACCTGTGAGGAAGAATTCCAGGTCAGGCTCCCAGGAAATGTGCTCCTCTCCAGGAAGGAAATCCCGTTCTCCACCTGTGCTGGAGAAATACCCTAAGTCTGACATCCAGGAAAAGCCCACAGTCTCTTCACTCTGGCATAGCAAAAGCAACATTGCTATTTCTCGTACTCCAAGCCCACCTTGCAGCGACTCACCCAGAGCACAAAAGATCCTGTCTCCTGCCCCATCCATGCTGCAGGAGTCTCCTGCTTTGAAGAATGGTGGTTCTGGGGTCATCCGAGACAGCCCAGGAGATAAGAGTCAGGTCACACAACCTGCCATAGTTAGGGGAGAAACAACTGCTGGTGGACCTCTGCTGCCTGGAAGAAGCAGTTCTCATACAGGTTCCCCTTCTATGAAAGTGAGGTCATTGTCTCCTCCGTCCTCCTCCTCTGCTTCCTCCAGCCCCTTGCCAGCCCTGGTTTCTGTGCTAGTCCCAGTCTCCAAAGAAGAGGAGTCTGTCTGTGAAGGAAAGGTAGTGGACAGGTCTGAAGGGCGTCTCCCGACTCTCGAGTCTGAACCGCAGGTAGCTCCTGTCACCATGGAGGAGAATGCCAGGAGCAGTTGTTCCACCGCCTCACAACTAGTTCCCCCTTCCCCACCGCCTTCTGCCCCCACAAAGGCAAAGAGAAGTTCCTCTGCTTCGTCCACTACTTCGTCCTCCTCCTCCTCGTCCTCAACATCCTCCTCCTCTTCATCTTCTGATTCGGAATCCAGCTCGTCTGAGTCTACCCCTCATGATCAGCCAGCAAAGGACCTTGAGACTGAGAGTGTACAAAAACAGTAAGGATGTGTTTTTCTTTCTCTTGTTCTAGGTGCTAACAATGGTTGTCTTTTCTTTAGAAAAAATCCTCTGTGATCCTCAGTCCCCCTTTCTAGGAGGGCACTGCTGATACATTCTCTTAATTTATCCTCCATGGCCCAAGGGGCCTTGGCATCCCAGTTGTCTTAATTTGAAAGGATCCTTGTAGTACCTTGAAACAATCATATTTATTATAGCATTAATTTTTTAAAAAACTGAAGTTTACTTTCTTTAGCTGTTCATAGTGCATAATCTTCCAGGGCCAGAATCCTGTTGGGAGTCCCAACTAGAGTAGCTTCATTGAATACACACGATGTATAGAAGTGTTGATTCACTGTCCAACAGTAGTTTCAATGGGCCTACTCCAGTTAGGATTACAATTAGGATATAGGCCCAGATGGGTTTTGCCTGTAATTTCCATTAGATTTATCGGTGTAGCCAGGGAACCAGCAGTCTGAAATCACCTGGAGGGTCAGAGTTGTCAGACTCACGTGTTTGCTGTTTTGTAAGTGAATGCCATGAAACACAGGCATTCAGTGACAGTGTCAAAGTGAGAGAAGCATTTGTCTTCTGAGCTTCAGGTGGATATTAAAATTGTCTCTGGAGGAGAGTCCCATGGTTTCTGTGAGGTCCTAGTCAGTTTTTTAAACAAGCCCACAAAAGTTTTTTGTGTTTGGTGGCTGTGTGGAAAGGAAAGGTTTCCTTCTTTATTGGCTGGGAGAAAGGGTTTCCTTTGCCAGTTGTAGCTTGAATGGCATTTCTTGTCACATGTAGTAGCCAAAAACCATATGGATCATGTTCCATCATATGGGTAGTGCTACAGACTCCTCTCTGTATTGTGGTCACAGTAACACAGCTGCCTCTCTGAAATGCTGCTTTTTGTCCTTGTCCTTTTTAAACATTGTAGTAGTGGCATTTCACCACCAGAGGCCATCCTTGACACATTAGGTGCTCCTTAAGGAATCCTAGGGTAGAATTGATCTGTGCTTCCTTTCTTTTTATATCAAGTCATGAAATCACCTGTCCCCATCAAGACATTCCTAATAAAACAAGTTCTTGTACTCTTGAAGAGTATGTACTTACACACATATAAATAAATTTGTCTAAGCTTGTATATGGTTTATGGTTTTCATAAATTCTCCTTCATTCAGGGAAAAATAGCAGTGTAGGGAATTAGGTGCAAGAGTTTCTGCTATTCAGGGAAAAATGTAGGGAATTAGGTGCAAGAGTTTCTGCTGGAATTTTTTTTATCAAAATGTTGATTCTTGAGATCCTCTTTAGCCATGACATTACCAGTGATTTTGTTGCTGATCCTGAGTTTGATCCTATGTTGCTTTAAGAACATCAGAAATCTTCCATTCAGTGGATATCTCTTTTATCCCAGTCAGTAACCATGCAGATGACACTTGGTTCCATCACCACCCTGCCCGCATGTAGCCAGTGTGTGGTAGTACCAAACTCTGTTAGATGGAAGTCATTATTTTCTTACTCTGTCGTAGGAAGAACACCAGTTACCATGCTGGCAAGAGGAATGTGAAAAAGAGGAGGAGTTAAGTCAATTATTTTCCTGGGATTTTCCCATAAATAACATGATATGAAATTAGTGCATTTATTTATGTGCACCACCATAGAACAAAAATGGAGATTCTTGAGTTGGTCATAAAAGGCTCTGTACTATTCCATACGATGTAATAATCCTGTGTATTTGAGCTTGATAATATCTTCTTTCCCTTCCACAGGCCACCAAGTCCAGTACTGAAAGAGGCGAACCGTGAAGAGCAGCCTCTGGAAGTAGTTAAGAGGAAGCGCCATTCTCGGAGCTCCAGCAGTTCCAGCAGCAGCTCTTCCTCCTCTTCATCCTCTTCTTCATCGTCATCTTCTTCATCGTCTTCTGCCTCTTCCTCTTCCTCCTCCTCCTCTTCTTCATCGTCATCTTCTTCATCATCTTCTGCCTCTTCCTCTTCCTCGTCCTCCTCTTCTTCAGCATCCTTACCGAAGACTGGACCCCAGGCCACAGTCAGAGTCGCTCCCAAAAAGAAACCATCTCCAGAGAAGAGGAAGTGAGTATTTGGGGACTGAAGAAGGAGATGTCTTCCCTTTTGAATGGGTTTCTTCAACATAGGGGTGGTGGGAAGATTAGCCTCTCCATCTTAGCCTCACCTGCTCACCTGAGGTGTCGTGTCCACCCAATGTGTGGGGTGGTTGTTAATGCCATGTGCCCAGTGAAAATATTTTAAAGAGTGAATAGGGGATCAGGGTGGCAGCAGTTCTCAAAGCTGGCAGATAGGTAAGCGCAGGAGCTTTGTTAAACAGATTCTGAGACATGTACATAGTTTGTGTTATAACTCCACAACAGAGGTTGGGTGGAAATATTGTTTTTAAAAGAACAAGAAGCTTGTGTATTATGGCTGGCTCACATTATCTTCAACCTCCTAGCTGCCAAGGCATGGTGGATCCTGGATGCTGAAGCTTGGACCACTGGAAAGATTACATTGTTTCCAGCCAGCTCTGGCTTCCGAAGTCTTGTTAGGCATTTGTTTTTTGCAGTTTGGCGTGTTAAGAAAAGCATTAGCATGATAGCGATCCCACCTAGGCATATGCTGTGATAGCCTGATAATGTGCTGCTTCTTCAGCTGTCTGCTTACTATTATGTGTGTCAGTAGGATGGGCGGATGAGTGGTGACAGGAGCAGGGATCAGGCATAACAGCAGCTGGCTGTTTTACCCTTTAGTTCTTTTTCTGGCAGCAAGGAAATGAGGCCCCTCGGGCAAGTCTTGCTGGGCAACCCTGATCTTGAATTGGCCAAAAATGAAATGAAAGACAGGATAGAACAATTCTGAACATTACATCCGGGGGGGGGGCGCAGATTCAAGATGTGTGCGTGCATTGTGTTTACAGCTCAGGGAAACGTGTAGGTCTTTCACTGTTGTATTTATCGGAGAGAATTTGTGTGATTTTTTTCTTCTCACATGGCTGAAGGGCCTTACATTGCTAAGTCAGCATGATGGATTTCATTCTAGCCAGTCTGTTTTTTCTCTCTGCTTCTAGGTCACGCAGTCCCCGCAAACCTATCGACTCTTTGCGTGATTCACGCTCCCTCAGCTACTCCCCAGCAGAGAGGCGCCGGGTTTCCCCTCCAGTCCAGACTCACTCAACTTCTAGGGACCGACGCCGGTAGGTATCTTAATTTAGTCTGCTTTCCTCCCTATCTTATAGGGCCAGGAGGGGTGGTAGATAGGTGGAGTGATATGGTGTTTTCCCGAAAATAAGGGTCTTATATTATTTTTTTGCTCCAAAATACGCATTATAGCTTATTTTCAGGGTATGTTTTATTTATTTTTTATGTACAACAATCTACATTTATTCAAATACTCTCATGTCATCTTCTGGTAGCTGCACAATGGTGGAGGGTGGGGTTTCACTTAACTAGGGCTTATTTTTGGGGTAGGGCTTATATTATGAGCATCCTCTTAATATTTTCAGGTTAGATCTTATTTTCGGGGAAACAGGGTAGAGAAAGAAAGAGTGAATACGGAGGAATGTGAGGTATGAGAAGTAGATCATGTTCACGGTGTTATGCCTTTACTCAGGGACAGGTCCAGGGACAGATCCTTGCAGAGAAACAGACGAAGTATCAGCAGATCACCGGAACGGAAACGGCGACGCAATTCCCCCAGCTCCCGAGCTCCCCGTCGCAGAACTTCAAGGTAAAGAGAGAGAGAGAGCGCATGTGTGGCCTGTTAGTATTACAACTGTGACAGATAAGTGGTTTATCAAACACATCTCAGAAACATTAGTAATTGATTGAGAAATCACAACTGAATTGTCCTCAGAAAGCAGCCATCTTGACTGTAAACACTTAACTAAAGCCAGATCTCATAGAGTTAGTGAGTCTTCATTGGAACTCCTAAAAACAGGAACTGTAGTGCTTAGCTTTTTCAAATTACAGGTGGAAAATCTGTTCCTTTCTAGATGTTGGACTATAATACCCTTAATTCCTCACTATTGGAGCCTCGTGGCGCAGTGGTTAAATCGCTGTACTGCAGCTAAAACTGTGCTCACGACCTGGGGTTCAAATCCCAGGTAGCCGGCTCAAGGTTGACTCAGCCTTCTATCCTTCCGAGGTCAGTAAAATGAGTACCCAGCTCGCTGGGGGGGCAATGTGTGGCCTGCATAATTACATTGTAAACCGCCCAGAGAGTGCTTGAAGCGCTATGGGGCGATATATAAGCAACACACTTTTTTGCTATTGGGCTGTTTAGTTGAGGTATGGAAGATGGAGCCCAGCAACAGCTAGAGAACATTCATCTCCAGTGTCTGTTCACAGAATTTGAGGAAGTGCTTTATACCTCTTTACCTGCTGATCTTGGAGATAGAGATCAAAGTGGCAATAGAATCTATTAGCAATTGTTGCAATTTTTTTCCTTTTGCTGTTGAAGTTAAGCGGGTATGGCTCTGCAAACTGGCTGAATGGGAGATGACGTGGATTCTATAGAAAGGTTTGATCTAAAGCTTGTAAGCTATTTGTCTCTCTCTCTCTCTCCAAGAGAAGGTGCCAGGATGCTTGTCTTCCTTAATATAGTAGTATATGGTAAAGCTTTATTTTATTGACATCTCGTTTTCAAGGTGCTGTTGCTCTCCGAGCAGCTTACAGTTAATACAAGTACAGTGGTGCCTCGCTTAGCGAGTGCTTCGCTATGCGATGAATTCGCATAGCGAGGGGGTCCGGGCCATCGCTGGAGCGTTCGCTCAGCGATGGCCCCTATAGCGTTTTTTCGCTTTGCGATGATCGCTAAGCAATTCGCTTAGCGATTTTCGCAGAACGAAGCGGGGAGAACAGCTGATCGGCGGTTCCAAAATGGCCGCCGGAAGGTCCGCACCGCATTTTCGCGCCCTGCCCTCGCTTACTGAGGGTGCGAAAATGGCGGCGCTATGGAAAAACATCGCTTAACAGTGAGTTTTAAAGCCATAGGAACGCATTGAACAAAGTTCAATGCGTTTCTATGGCTTTTTTATTCCCGTTTAGCGATGTTTTCGCATAGCGAAGGTTAATCCGGAACAGATTAACCTCGCTATGCAAGGCACCACTGTATAGCATGATAGAAGTTTGTGGAAGTCCATCAGGATGGTTTCTTTTGGTACTGTAGATGGCAAATGCAGTTGTAGTCCCAAAACCAGAAGCATATTGGTGAGGGGCTTGAGAGGGTACTGAACTTGGGCGAGCTGACAGTAAAGATTCCCTTTTTGTTTGTTTGTTCCTTTATACTGCCCATCTGGCCGAAGGCCACTCTGGGCAGTTTACAACAAACACAAACAACATGATTAAAGTACAGTTTAAAGGAACAGAAAATAAAAATAATAAAATACAAATAAACAAATACAGTCAAAAGCATTAAAATACGTTTGCTGAAAAAACCACACACACACACAAACACACACTCACTCACTCACTCACTTACACTTATAAGAAAATGTTATCAAAGCAAGAAGATGGCATGGGCTGATAGGTCAGCAGGTATCAGCCCATTCTTCTAGGCAGCCTGTACTAACGCTCCCGCTTCTGCATTTCACAGGTCTCCCTAAGCTGCTTGGAGAGTCTGGAAACCCTTGCCCATGCAACCACAGACTGCACCACCCCAGCCTCCCACAGTGCTGTCCCAGGTGGGGGCCCCCTGCCTTCTGATGCCCATTGGAAACTAATGTGTTTGCGTGGGAGGGGGTGCTGTTCCTTTGCCATCAGCTTTTTATTCTCATTAGTTTTTTTCCTCCACTGTCCCTGTCTTTATTGCCCGTCATTTGTCGGCAGCTACGTTCCCTTCCTCCTTGGACGTTTCTGCTCAGCACCCACCAAGATCTGATGTCTCTGCGCTCCACCCCCTCTTCTGACAGTTGGTGACTTTCATTTGATTTTTTTGCCCCCTCTCCTGTGAATGTTTTTTTTCTGTGTGTTTTACAGCTAAAATCTTCTGTGTTTTGAGAAAGGAGTCTTCTTTTCATTGATTTAGACATAAAAGGTTTTAAAAAAGAAAACACAAAAAGGGGAAGGGTGGGCGGGTGGGGGGAGGGAGATAAGTGATAACTGATCTGTTTGATTTAGCGTTTCTCAGGCACCCCTCTTGAAATAGCAGAGGGCTGTAGGAAAAGGGGGAAGGAGTGCATGATGGCAATAGAAATCTCACAAAATTCAGTGCGTTGGGGTGGTGGAAATGCCCTCTGCTGTTCAGTAGCCCTCTTCTGTTGCCACATGTGAACGTCTGGGCAGAAAGAAAAGAGGTAGTTTCTTTTAGTCGCCTGCAATGGTGTGGTTGACCTTTGGTGGTGGCATAATTGCAGATTAGAACATTCCTGCCCCCCTGCAACAAACAAATTTTAATATGCTGTGCTCATGGCCCTTTTTATCCCTCCCTCAAAGTAAACTCTTTCGTATTCATCAGCTGAGCCAGGTCAGGAGGGAGGTCACGATAGGGACTGGAAATTGAGCAGTCAGGCATTTTATGGGGAAAGGTGATGGAAATTTTGCGGGAAAGAAGCCGAGAAACCCTAAATCAGGGAGTGATGGGAACAGAAGTTTCTTCATATTTCTTAAAAGCATTTAATTTTTTTTGATATGTACAGCAAGGAGATTTTTTCTGTCAAATAAAAAAAAACTTAAGAAATCGAATATTGTTATCGAGTTTCTGTATTATTTTGGGGGGGGTGCTCTGCTCAATGGACAATTCTCATACCTGTGGAAGTTTGCATTCTGTTGTGAAGCTTTCTGTCTTAACTAGATGTATTTTTTCAGATCCTCTATTTATTACAAAGCATCCTCCAAAGCTGGAAAGCCTCATGTTCTGTATAATTATATCCAACATCACGTTAATATTTCAAGGATAAAATGGATATTTTAAATAAGTTGTGTACATCCTACCCCTTCCTTAGTTCTGTATGGTAAAGCCAGCCAACCAAGCAGCAGGAAGGAAAAGGAACACCTTAACTATTATAAAAGCAACTAAACACACAGTCTTAGTTGGCCTTAACTTCAGGAGAATATCAGGACCACAACAGAAAAGAGTGTGATCTCTTCCCCTTTTAAGTTGGTTGCAAAGGGGGTTCAGAGCAGGTCTTGGTTGGAATATATAACTAATGGAGACCAGGGAAGGAGAACCCACTTTTTTTAAAGGGAAGAAACCAAACCATCATAACCTCACTTCGGATATTTGAAGCATTAGATGAATGAGGACAAGTTCAATTAGCAACAAAGCCTTATCTCTTGCTGACCAAAACACGAATGCCTATTGCAACTGTATATAAGTAGCAAAGACACCACTTCGTGAAGGGAGTGAATATTTCTAGGTAAGTTTGGGGGAAGAGGAAATAGCCTAAACAAAGCTTGTTTTCACCTGTTATGGCTAATAATTGTCACCAGAGTCCGCTGTTGCCTGTTTGATGAATTTTGAGTGTTTTGACTTGTTTAAAAAGGAAATGACATTTCTTGCCAGTGCCGCTGACAAGATGAAGTACATCCCCCTTGCCCCATGAGGGACTGCTAAAGTTCAGTCCTCCCCACTTCCCCTTTTGCTAATTTTCAGCCTGGATGCTATGTAGAAAGTATCATGTCCTGAAAATAAATTGACCTTCCCTGCCATGTGCATTCCCTTGCTAAAGAACTTTGTTCTTCAAAAGCTGTTTGTGCATGGTTTTTCTAAATGTGTTTTTCTGTTTTGGAACTGACTCCTTGTTCTGGTGTTCACTTTGCTTTGGGGGCAATTTTGGGCAAGACTCAGTTACCTGCTTGCACTAGCCAATTTCTTGTGTGTGCTGGTCAAGACCAACATTTACTTTTCCTTGAGTTTCCTCTCACCTTGGGTTAAGCATAGAGAGGTTTGTTCAGCTCTTATCAATATGACCTGCCTTGTGTCTTTAACACACTTTACAGCTCTTAACCAGATGATCCTTAAAAGGGTGTTGTGTAACCTGAATAATTTTTTTGATTTCTCTCTCCCCCCCCCTTCTAATTGAACCAGAAGCCTTCAATGGTGCATTGCTCGCTTGATGTTGAGATGCTGTTTCTAAAGCTTACAATGTAGCATGGAAGGTGATGCTTTTGTGATGTGTAAGGCCAAAGGCCCCCTTGGACATGCAAAGTGAAATGTGTCCTTTCAGGTATTGTCCAGTATGTGTTAAGAAGGCTATTTCTGTCATAATACTAGATGCATCTTTTCCTACTTAAAACCTTTTACGGACTTCAGCCTTCTTATTAAGTTGTGGGGTATTATCTGTTAAAATGTATATTAAATAGATCTTGGTAGGGTTTATGATGCCAAAATACTCTGTAATGTTTGTCACAATATCGTTGACGTGGTTGTTGCACTCAAAAACAAAAAATGACCTACCCTTGCTGTTTATTTCTTTCAGTTTCATTTAATTACATCTGCCCATGTTCCACTTCACCCTGTATCATTGTGCAAGGTATGAGTGCGCTTCAAACATCTGGTGTTTTTCATTAGGAAGTAGAAAGCAAAATATTTCACCAGTACTGTACAGCACAGGAAACAGTTTTATAGAATCACTGGAAGAGGCTAGAAATAAATTTGCACCAGTTCTCTGCATGCATGAGTACATACCAGCTGTGTTACATTTTATAATATGCAGTAGAGATGCTGAGAGTACATTAATGTGTTGTGCTTTTTTGGCTGAAATAAGGAAATAGATGTATTTATGTGCTGTCTTCCAAGGTGACTTGAAAGTTTATAATGCTGCAGTGGCTCTTACAAGAGTTCCGTGAAGCTGATTGAAGATCAGGAGCTCCCTGGTCTGTCTGGCTTGACTTAGCTCTTGCCTGCTTCCAGGTGGAATATGTACAGGGTTCTTCAGATGTTGTTGAGACTTCAGCACCCATCAGCTCCCTCTAGTATAATAGCCAGTAGTGAAGCCTGGTGGGATTTATAGTTCAGCAAAGTCTATAGGGCCTTAAGTTTTCCCTTCTTGATTTTAAAAGTCCCAAGAAAGGGCTGTGAGTAACAGCTGCCTCACCTTTTGTGGATATTTCTCCCTTCCCCAAGCCATGAAGATTTTAAGTACAGGGAAGGGGTGAGCTGTATGCAAGAGTAAATCAGGGATTTTAACAGAACACAGCAATGGTTGTTGTCGGTTTTTCGGGCTGTTTGGCCATGTTCTGAAGGTTTTTCAGAACGGCCAAACAGCCAAAAAACCTACAACAACCATCGGATCCCGGCCGTGAAAGCCTTCAAAAATACATAGAACACAGCAAGATTATTAGTCACAGTATCCTCTATCCAGTATGGCTGCTGCCTGTGCTGCCTGGAGAATGCCTGGAACTTTTAGTCCACAAATTAGTTTTCAAAGTGCGACAATGAAGATAGTGAAAAAGTAGGTATACCTTTTCCTTCCTTTAGTTTTTAAAAGAACCCAACCCTATTGTCTTGGCCTTTGGTAGCCATTGACAATGGTTCTCGCTTCCTATTGTCTGTGATGCATGTGGCAATCAAAACTCAGGAAGCTAGAGTGTTGTAACTGGAAAGCAAGAGTTTTCTGTGAAGAAGATGCTGTTCCAGAGGTCCACTCTGAGCCAGACATCCCCACCATTTGCTTATATGATGCTGGATTTATCGTGCTTGCCAACCTGCCTTCCATGTGGTTACAGTGGTAACAGAGATGGGTGTGGGTATGGGGATATATTGGTTGATTTAAACTTAATGTTTTGGGTCCAGAGTAAGTCAATGAAACTTTGTTCATGACTCAGTGAAACGGCAACTGACTTTTGACTCTGATTTCAAAGGGACTGAAGTGCAGTTAGATGACCATCTCTGGATCATACTTCAGTATCTTGGTACCACAAGGTGGGAAAGTTGTAGTAATGAATCTTAATTACATTATAAAAATGAACTGTAGTTGTGAAATTCTGGCCCTTTCCCCCATCCCAGTGCCATATCCCTTCATCTTTGTGAATGAATACAAAAACAGGCAATTGTGTATTTAATTATGTGTATTTAATTTTAGTGATAGTGACGGGCATTAAATACATCACACAGCAGTAGCAGAATGTCCCTTCCCTTTGTTTCAGACACACATCAACAGCCAGTCCATTCTGAAGGTGCTCATCAAGGGTGTGTTGACAATGTGATCTCTCCTCCTGCCCCCGCTAAGCAAACTGAACACAATTCTGCCTTTTAAAACTTGTATGTATACTTGCAGAAGTCTGAATGGTCGTATGTGGAAGGAAAAGGCGAATGTATTGGTGAAGTATGAGAAAAGAGAGCATAGGTAATTTTCATACATCCTTACTATATGTTGATGTAAGTGTTGCTGCTCCCTTACCTGTTCAGCTTGAATTCAGAAGCAAATATTGCAGGAGCCATGGGCAAGTTCAGCCCTTCAAACACCAGGAACTGCAATTCCCAACATACTCACCCTTGGCTATGCCAGCTAGGGATAACAGCACTTGCAGACTGACTATCTGGAGGACCACTTTATTTTTTTATTTTATTTCATTTATTCAATTTATACCCAGCCCATCTAGACCGAAGTCTACTTTTACTACAGGCAAGAAATGTAGCTGTGAATATCACGTACAGTATGTGGGGAAGGAAGATGTATGAACTGACAGTACGACAAAAAGTGTGCACTTAAAAAAATTACACAATGTACTCTGTGGACCACCCTGTAGCTCTTCCACTGCGTGCACCTTCCCCTCTTCCTGTGTAGGGCTCTGCTTCTTTCTGTTGCCTCCGTTGCTCACAGTACACTCATCCATAAAGTAGGAAACACTACACTTGGACACGTGCGTTTAGTAGTGCTTTCTACTTTATGGATGAGTCCACTGTCCTTAAAAGTGCTGCTGCAGGCTTGTGGTTGGCTGTGGTTCGTCTTCATCCAGCGCCGATCCTTTCCAGACCTTCCAACCCCTACCTGCTGACTGCTCCCTTGGTGTGAAATAACAGGGAGATGCCAGGAGGGAGAGAGGTTTGATGCATCATCTTATGGTCAGGGGGGCTGAGACAGCAACTTTACAACATTGAAAACATCCTGACTGCCCAGATGGGCTCACAATCTGCACAGGTTCATACTTCAACTATGAGCAGAAAACAAAGGAGTGCATCAACTACATCTTGGTATGTTTCCACCTTATGTAATATAGACATAAAACACTACAGAAAATGCAGAAGAGTGCCAGTTCTACTCTTAAAACTTACTTGGCTTTCTGTTTCTACAAGGGAAAAGTTGCTTTTTTGGTTTATAATTCTGACTGACTGTGGAAGTTGGTCACGTTGGCTGAGATACTCTGTGAGATGGGAGTCCAAAGAAGCAACTTTTTCCTAGCTGTCCTTCCTGCTATCTATCTCATTGGCCTCTTGCAGTTTATAGAAAAAAATAACCATCCTGGTTCGCAGACGCTGTCTGCTTAAAAAGCCTGTACTTTCCATTGCTAGACATCTCAGCCCACCGGTTTATTAATCCTCTTTAATTACCTAGAATTGTCAATTTTGCAGCTTTCTAGCAGATATATTCTGGGATGTTACATGAGAGACAATGGCCTGTTCTTGGAATTGTTATCAGAAACAGCCCATCAGTTTTCGGTAGCTATTTAGTGAAAAGAAATAAGGAACACAGTTGAGGATTAGTGAAACCAATGGAGGGCTATTTCTTTGACACTGTGTTTCACAGTCTCTTAATAATTTACAGTACTTTGAAAAATCTACTGCCCTGACAGAGCTAAGAGAAGAAGAAATTAGTTTTGTTTTAGGAATTGTGGCTCAATGTCTGAAGCCAGTCTGTGCAGGAACTCTGTTTCCTTGAGATTTAAAGTGAGAATAATAATGAAGGTTGGAAAATGTACTATATGTTACAAAGTTAATCTTAAAATGTTTCAAATTTATTTATTTAGTCATTCATTCATTCATTTATTTACCATCCGTCTGGTAGCCAAGGCCACTCATTATTTCAGTTTTTATGTGGTTTATGGCAAGCTATAGTTTTTGAAGGGAAAAGAAAGAGATTGAGATCTGGTACAATGTTAGTGAGTGTAAATATTTAAACATTAGATGATGCTAGGATTCAAAAGCCTTGGAAACACATGGTGTCACCTTGTTCCAAGGAGGACGTATGCTAACTAGCACACCAGGGTAAGGGAATATTGCACTAATTTAACCACAGAATTGGTTGGCATCATGTAGTTCTAGGGCTTTTGGATGACAACAATAAATTTATTAGGATCCATATGCCCTGGAACTATGGTGCCAACTAGTTCCATGGTTAAAATAACTGCAATATTCCATTGCCTTGCTCTGCTAGTATGCTTTATTCTTGCTCAAGACATACCTTGTGAGCTTTCTCTTGGGAATGTAGAAGGTACGACATCTGGGACCCTGCACATTTTGTTAGATTTTTCCAACTCTCATCAGCCCCACTATCAGTGCTCAGAGACAGAGTTGGAATCTAACAGGGCGTGACAAACTATAGGTGAAATGAAAACAGCTGCTGAGTTCCCCTGCAGTATACTGTCAAAGCTAATAATATACATATATATTTTTGGATGTTTTAAATTAATTCTTATAGTGTGGCACTTAGGTGATCTCTTTAAGGAAAGAACTTTTTAAAAGATGGCTTGTAAATAAAGAGGGCCCAATTTTGCCTTCATCGTAAAGCAATCTTCATTGTAAAGATTGTAAAGCAATCGGAGGAGAAGAAATAGCCATCTATATTGAACACTGCTGAGCGATGCCCACCCACCATGCATGTGTCATAGTAGTGACTAGTACATTTGATTTATGATACCCAAATTGGACAAGCAGTGCACTAGAAAGCATGTACTTTTTCCCCACAGTATATTGTATCACAATGTGCAACATTTATTCTGGGCTTTAGTGGGGGTAAACAACAAGAAAGTCTACTTGGTTCTACTTACTATTTCCGTTTGGAAAGTGATATAGACAACCTAATGGTGACAAGCATAGTAATGGTAAGAGCAAAAAATATAAGCCAACAAACTATAAAAGCACATACAGCATAAGTTTCCTTTTTGAATATACCCTTATTTCAACCTTTCCTAACTGCACCCTCTAGATGTTTTGGATTACAACTCCCATCATCCTCAGCCAGCATGGCCAAAGTGCTGGATTGGGGGGAAGGCTGCTCTATAGTTTAAATCCATCTTCTTTCTCTTTTGTCCCCCCCCCCCCCAAAATTGCACTTCTAACAGGAAGCTCTGCTAAACAAATAATCCACATAATTAATATACAAGTAGACAGACAGAAGAACTGCCATGGAGTCCAGTCCTAAGCATATTTATTTGAAAGTAAGCCACTTTATTTACATTTGAACTGAGTAACATTTTATAATATTGTACTTTATGTTCTGTGATCTGTGGTATATAAAGGGGTCTGTGTCAGTATTTAGTTTGCTGGACATTCAATTCAGCCACAATCCTATATCAGTATGAACACAACTGAATGCAGTAGGACTTACTTCTGAGTAAAGATGCTGAGGCTTGAGCTGCTGATTATTTTCCAGGGTACAATCCTGTACTCATTTTTCCTGAGAATATGCTCTACCGAACACAGTAGGACTGGCTTCTCAGTGAGATATGTAGAGAATTGTGACATCAGAAACCATTCCTTATTAGACCTCCAAGGTTGTGCGGTTTGTTTGCTGCAATTCAACCGCACAAAACTGTATACAGTACTTGATTTCAAGAGGATATAAGACAGAACTGGAGGATAAATATATGTTTTGAGTGGTACGTTTTCTGTTAAAGAAATTAGGCATTCAGGTCTGAACACTGATGTTTGAGGAACATTGAAGGCCTTTGAAGCCTAATAACTGTCACCATGGTCCTACGTTCTTATCTCTACTTGCTTTTCTTTCCTGTTTTTTATCTTTCCTCCCCAGTCTTGTTCCTTTTTTTTGCCTTTTCAATTAGAACTGTTTCAGCTAACGTGGCTTGCCTGCCGCTTCCCATGATTTCACAAAAATCCCCTCTCCTTTCAAGCTTCTAACTAGGTTTTGAGTTAGTTGTGTATTTTCTGTAGTTCTGCCTACCCTATTTATATGTTTGTTTGTTTTATTTATAGGCTGCCTTTTTCACGATAAAGGGGACACAAGGCAGTTCACAGTATTAAAAAGAACAGAATTAAAAACATACGCCTTCTCCCACCTAGATCTACCCGCACGAGCCAGGAGGTGAGGCTGAGGAGCCTGACCCCGAGGGAGGCCCGGAGAGAAAAGACGCGAAATTGGGCCTTCTCGGCGGTGGCTCTCCGGCTTTGGAACAGTCTACCTCCTGAGATTCATGCAGCCCCTACGCTGGGTACATTTAAAATCCAACTAAAAACATGGCTTTATGTCCAGGCCCTCCCGCCTGCCAGCATTTGATTTAATTTAATTTAATTTACCCTTCTTTTCCTATTCTTCAGTTATGATTTTTGGCATGTTTTATTAATAACTGATGTTTGGGTTCTACATTATTATAATTGTAACATTAAAAACAAAAAAAACTATATGCTAATCAAAATGCAATTGAATAATTGTATTTTAGAATGTGAGATGGTATTTTAGAATTGGAAACAATCTTCTAAGGTCTCCCCCCCCCCAGTTAGACTCACCCAGTTTGATTCTACTTGTGTTCCAGAAGTGGGGAAAGGATCTATGCATTCCGTATCTCACCCGCTGTGGTGTGCTTCTTTGTGTAGGACACAATTCATGAAGGTGGATTAATTGTGTTCTCAGACTCAGGTGTGGAATTTCAGATCACCCATATTTCATCAAGGGCCGCTCTATATACAAGGTGCAGGAGTTTCCCATACCTCTGCAAAAAATGTGTCCCTATAGAAAGACGTTGCTCTGCCTAGAAAAAGATGAGAGGTGGATCTGGAATTATTTACTGCAAGCTTCATCTGGTAGTTGTTGCTTGAAATAATTTTTCTTTCTCTTTCCTTCACACCAGAGGCTGCGTATGTCAAATTTCCCGTAACCCTGCAGCAGCTGGGTGTTCGGAGAAATGGAGTGCGCAACCTCTGGTTCTAGTTGCACAGCGACCATCTTTCCCCTTACATAAGCTATGGTGTGTGACTCAAATGACTTCCTCATTCCTGCTTCCTTTTCTAAGCATGCCCAGGGAGAGAAGGTATGGGGAGTGATTAATACCCTATAGGCTGATAACCACCCCACCAGTGCGCCGAAATCCTCCTCCCTTTAGAAAGCACAGCTCGAGTTCAAATAAAAGAGACTAATAATATTCAGAAGTTCTTTTCTTGATTTCCTCCCCCCCCTTTTTTTTTGAGAACCCTTCTGCTGGATTTCCTTGTGAAAATAATGAAATTATTCTGGAAAATCTAAACCAGGATGGGCAAAATATGTCTCTGGGGCCACATGTGAACTGCAAGATTGTTTTCGCAGCCCTCAGCCTTCCCAATGCCATTTTTTAGACCCCCCCTCAAAAAAATAAGAGATTTTTTTAAAAAAGCAGAACTGTGCCTGAAAGTCTTCAGGTTGCAACACCCCCATATAATTTAACATAGATCCCCAATTAAAGTAGGTTGCAGTCTGCCCCCTCCTCATTTAATGGAATGAATGAATGATTAAATAAATAATAAATTTTTGTTTCTATACCAGAGCTGGACTCACAAGTACTTTTGGTTTTGTCCAATACAGAAATTTTTCCCCCAGACCCACAGAAACTATCGATCGCTGATTTAGACGGCCCCACTCTCACAACACATGGTGATATGCTGGTATTTCATGACCAAAGCCTTTGAGCTTTACTTCCTGATCTCTATAGACGAAACCTCTGCTCTTAATCCTTCACTTGGCGCTGGTGCTAGAAGCCCCCCATCATACGGCCCCGCTCTTCCCAACCTCCCCAGTTAACCACTCAACCCTATAGGGACCAAGGAAGAGCTACCTTTTCCGTGGACTTCATCTGTCAGGCCAGTTGTCAGTTGAAGCAGAGAGATGGAGGCAGTGGGGCTGAGCTCATTTATAGATGCAGATGTCTGAGCCAACCCCCCCAGCTTGTGCCTCCTCCCATTCGGGGAGATAATCACATGACACCTGCTGTCTTTCCCCCTCCCTGCCCAAACCACAGGAAAAGTCAAGTGGCCTCTCTTCTCTTAACTGGGCCAGGAAATTGCAGCTACCCAATGTACCCTGTCCCCAGCTAAGTCTCCCATACTGTCTCTCCTCCCCCCCCCATCTGATGTTCAGAAGAGCTGTGGTTAACTATTTTAGGACGTAGCTCTAGTTCTGGTAGGTTCCAGCAAAAGGAACCGCACAAGAAGGTCCCAGGGTGAGGGCTAAGACACCTGCATCCTCTTGTAAAATAAGGGTCTGTGTTCACGCATGTGTGCCTTCTAGCAAAGGTTTGGCCATTTCTTCATTTCACAGAAGTGAAACAAATTTCTCGCTAGAGTTCTTTTTTTGTGGTGGAGAGAGACGTATTGGAACGGGGCTCTTTAAAGCTTACGGTGGTGTCATGAGTTGTCATCCATAAACGGGGCCTTAGCAGCGGCTGATCTCAGATACGGCAGCTGGCTAGTCTTATCCATGTTGCATCAGAGTACAGGTTTGCTTGTGCAGGTTCCCATCTCGCACGTGGCTGAAGCTAAATGAGCTGAGTGGAGTGGGAGCTCTAATAAGAGAGCTGCCATTCCTTGCTGATCCCCACCCCTGTTTAATGAACAGGCATGGCTTAGAAATTCAATGCAAAATGTGCCTCTGTGCCTGTATGTGTGAAGGATCGCCTCTTTTATGATTGTGGGACAAACGTATTGTAGAATGTTGGATTTTCTGGTTATTGCGTCTTGCTGACAGCTTTGATAGATGCGCACTTTCATTTCATTTCATATTATTTTACTTTCTTACGGTATTTCTAACCCACTGCATTGACTGAGCTTAGTATGGGGGTACAATCAGTAAAATCACATAAAACAAACCTGGTGCAATTTAAATATTCCAAAACAATAAGCACCTTTTAGAATACAATTAACTATTAAAACCATTAAGACAAACTCCAGCCAAATGAATCACTGACGATGAAGCCATAGTTTCTTATACTAACAGAGACCTGGGTAAACAGCCATGTTTTAACCTTATGAGTAAAAGCAAAATAGGAAAAAAAAAAAGGAAAAAATGTGGTGGCTCCTTAAAAACTAATTTCTCTCTATATATTTTAGTTAGAGCTTTTGTGGACAACTCCACTTCATCAAACATAAGAGCTTGGCTGTGATAATGTTGTTTTAACCTGGCACCGAGTTTGACTCCAGTCAGGCCTCCAAGGGGAAGGCTTCGGAAGAGTCTTTTCCTTGTCTCAGAATATTCTGTTCTCAGTGGTAGGGCATAGAGGGGAGCCTTCCCTGGAGATCTTCATGAGTTGTAGTGCCTCCAATACCTAGGTCTCAAAACTGCACTGAGCTCTTGCTTAGACAGAGAAAATCCCAGAAACCAAGTCACTCTTTGTTTTCATCTTGGAAGTGCTGATAATTCTTCATTCCTTATCGCGAACAATCTTCAGTGCAAAGTGCTACTTGTTGAAACGATGCTGTTTCTCACAGCATGTGCATGTTTGCCCATCTTCTACATAACTGCATACCTGATACAAAATACGTTCAGCAGATACGGGTGGTGGGTTCTTTTTAAAATAGTGGAATCCAAACCATGGAACTCTTTCAAAATTCAAAAATCCCAGGCATAGTCAATCCAAATTATAAAAACATTGACTGGTATTATACAACAGACACAGATTTTAACCAAAAACCTAAGTATCTGTTAAATATTGCCATAGTATGTATGCTATTCCTAATAATGCTGTTTTTTTTTGTAGCTCTGATGGTGTTATGGTGTTATTTCTCAGATAGGCAATTGCTTATAGTACTGTGTCAAATTTTTTGATATTGTTCCCAAAGCCCCAATGACTAGGGGGACCACTAAAGTGTGTTTCATCCACAAACGAGATTTCAATTCCCAGGTCTGTGTACTTTGTTTGTTTTTCCAATTCTTTATTTTCAACTCTGGCACCACCTGGAATTGCAATGTCAATGATCCAGACATTTCTTCATTATATTACTACTATGTCTGATGTGTTATACATAAGGTGTCTATCAGTCTGGATCCAGAAATCCCACAAGATCTTGACGTCATCATTTTCTAACACTTTCTTTATGTGTTCCTATGGATTTTTGGAGATTGGCAAGTTGTATTTTTTGAATAATGACCAGCACTAATTTTACCACTCTGTCATGTCTAATTTTATTTTCTGTGCAATCTTTGGACATTCACTGATGACGTGTGACACAATTTCATTTTTCTCTTGGCAGTTAACATTTGCTGTTAGCACTAAATTCCTTGGATCTTAGGTTTCACCAAGTTAGTTTGGAGTGCTTGTTCTTGTGCAGCAAAAATCAAGCCTTCGTTTTCTTTCTTAAGGGGGCTCAGTTTTAGCCTGGGATGTGGTGGCGCTGTGGGTTAAACCGCAGAGTCCTCTGTGCTGCAAGGTCAGAAGACCAGAAGTCGTAAGATCGAATCCACGTGACAGAGTGAGCTCCCATTGCTTGTCCCAGCTCCTGCCAACCTAGCAGTTTGAAAGCATGTAAATGTGAGTAGATAAATAGGTACCACCACGGTGGGAAGGTAACGGCATTCCATGTCTAGTTGCGTTGGCCACGTAACCACAGAAACTGTCTACAGACAAATGCTGACTCTACGGCTTGGAGACGGGGATGAGCACCGCATCCTAGTGTCAGACACAACTGGACTAAATGTCAAGGGGAACCTTTACCTTATGTTGAATTATGATAATGCTTCCCATCAATATTTCTCAGGTGTCTATGTATTGGTTTATTTTTCCAGTCGTTTAATTTATTTTCAAATTGTTGTTTTTTATATTGAACCTTTGTTTCTGTTTTCAAAATATTCTCCATTTTCACAACCTTAAGTACTGTAATTTTTCTCTACTTGTACTAATATAATCATTTAGGCTCCTTTTTTCCCCTCCTCTACTACCTGCTGTATTTGCAGCAATCCACAGCCTCCAATTTTCATCAGAAATATAATCTGTCCACATCACTTTTGGGATGTATTGCATGATGCATGTTCATTAGTTTCCATGTTTTTTGATAGCATTTAATTTTGATTTTCCATAGTTTTTAAAAATATATTCCTTTTCTATCAGTTATTTAACTTTTGTGTGCATGTTATCTGCTTCTAGTATTCCAAGGTATTTATAATTTTCATCACTTGATAGTGATTTTATAATATTGAAATTTTAAACTCTATTCCATCTTGCCACGGTATATAGACAGAGCTGCATTGCAAATTCCAAATTTCATTTAGATATCTTCACTAAATATTCGCACTGTGTTTAGCAGTGATTATATCCCTGTGGAATTTTTGCATAAAGTTTTAGGTCATCCATGTATAATAGATGACTGATTTTTCCTGCCTGTTCTGAAATATGGTAACTACTGTTTTCTCCACACCCCTTTTGGCAACTATTAGTTTATCAAAATGTTTCTACTGCAAAGGAAATTGGTTTGAAGGTGACATAATTTTAACTCTACCGCCGAACAGGAACTGAAATAGCTTACTGTGTAGATGAGAAATAGAAACCTCTGCTTTGCTACTGCAAAATACAGGGGAACTGGAAACACTTATTTTTCCACTACACATTATTTAGTGACATATGAGAGGATTTATGCCTTTCACAGATGGAGTCTATGGGAGAAACAAGTGGCTTCATGCATTTCTCTCTCTCTTTTTGAGCCATGGATTTGGCACTGAATCCTGTGACCATTGCCAGTTGGCACTGCTAGAACCCGTTGTTTGGATGCTATGGTTTGATCTGTGTTGTGGGCATTGTTCTAGGATGTAAACATAGAGAACATTGCCTGGATGTATTCTCCAGTACTATGCTTTGCTGAAAGAAGGAGACGTTGCTGAGAATTCAGCCATCCTGTCTATCTGCTGAGCAGAGAAAGTGGGTAGAAGAATGGTCCCACTGTCAGTTATTGAGCAGCCACACGTTTTCCGTACCTAGAGGATTGTCTCTGAACCTCTGGTGAATCACTTTCTACTTACATAAAGGGAGCTTGGTGAAGGTCAGCTTCTCTACAGGAGCTTTAGTTTGCAAATAAACAAAGCCAGTCTTGGTTATTCTCTGTAGGGCTTTGCAAACATGCTCCGCTTGCATATCCTTTCCAAAGCTTCCAAAAGGTGGTAAGCAGCAACATGAAGCAATGTCAGATTCTACAACAGGTGAAACAATCTTAACAATATCCACAAAAGTACGTATTGCTTCCTGTCTTTGTTACATTTCAACCCCACTCTTCTGCAAGGAAATTCAAGGCTGGTGTACATGATCATCTCCCACAAATGATCTTCAGAACAACCATGTGAAGAAGAACATTAGGCTGAGAATCAGTAGGCATGGCAGAAGGACGCTCAGTGAGTTTGATGGCTTGGTGATTTGAACCCCAGGCTCTGCAGTCTTAGTTTATCACTCCAAATCACAGCACCGGACCTTTCAAGTATGGAATAACGGATTAACTCTGTGGCAACCCCAGTCCAATGTCGTGCCTTCTCTCCCAGGAAAACTCAAGAGATCCAGTCTTGGAGTTCTACCATGTCATCTAGCTTGCCTTCCTTTCCCTCTGCAGGGGTACTTTCTCTATTTCTCTCCTATATTCAGAGATACCATGTAATATTCCAGCTCTCCTTTCTTTTTCTTTCTGGAGAGAAAGTGTTCCTCTCCTTGGTAAGGGCAGGCATTCAGTGGAGGCAATGCCGTGCTCCATGATGTTCACAGAGACCATATAGTTCAGGAATCTTTACTCTTTATGGTGCCGTGCTGCAACTTGTTTTATGCATGAAAATTAAGACTGGATTTAAAAGGTGTTAGGATTGTTACGGTTAAGCAAGGGTAGGCAAAGGAGAGACCTCAGGATGTTGAAGAACTGCAG